TGGCTTTCATGGCGAGTGCTAGTCTACCGACTACCATAGAGTTTGTGGAACATGAACTTGAGGGGAAGGTGCTAGTGCTGCATATCATGTTCTCTGCAGGAGACATAAATAGCGTGGGGGCCGAGAGTTCGTAATAAAAGCAGATTTTTGGTACCAAGATTTGACATTATGATTCAAAGTCGTGCTTTCCGCATACAACTAGTTGGTCGGTCTCTGCTGCTGTCGGTAAGTTTGGCATATCAGATACCGGGATGCCTGCCGCCGAGTCCAGCCCGGAGATGACACTGGAAGGAACCAACTTGTGTAGCATCGCAGATATGTTGACGTATTCGGCGCCGAGATTGGTTATCCGGTGCATACCTGGTCATATCGCAAACTGACCGTGGTGACTTGATGTATTATGTGAGCTCTTTCTCTCCTTCTCTCTGCTGGTTTGATTAGGTCGTCGTCTATAATGAGAACTCATCTTGCTACCATCACAGATCAGATAGGTGGCAACAAGGACAAGGGCTCCACACTAGCCGCCAGCGTAGGTTCCAAGGTATTTAGTCCATCACATGTGCATTTGTGGTTACATGGCGTTGGGCTTCACTAGAGTAGTTTTGATTCATGACTACCCTTTTCTGGTACTAGTATTATATCCTGTAGAAGTGAAAGCGGGGGTTGGGAGCATAAAACACCGTTTATATCCGGCGCATGAGTGAAATACTGTACTGGTTGAGACCGTGGTTCAGAGTAATTATTCTAGGTCGAACTGGAAGACCCGGGAATGGAAAGACAAAGACATGATCCATAATCTTTGTCCTGTCATCGCACAGTGTCTGATACTGGGGAAAGAAAATGCCGGAGAGACATTAGATTCGTGCGTACCCGCCAGGGTGGGCTCAAGTTACTTGACGAAGTTGAGGTCACACAAACCGTCAACACCACATGTCTCATTGCCCGATTCGGCAATCTTGACTCTCCTCCGGCGCTACGCTACCTTGCCTTATCCCCAGATGCATGCGGTACAACGGTGTGACCTATCACACACCTCCTGCATGTGTCGGCAGGCATCCAGGGCTTCAACGAACCTATACATCGCCAACCGTAAGAAGCAGGCAGCCCTACTCGGGGTTAGCGCCGGATATTATGATCCTTACTCAGTCACTACCAGGTAAATTCTATATAATAGGATGTCACCCCCAGTCGTCATGTCCCTTTTCAGAGATTGTCAGCTCCATGGCTGACTCCTTGAGACATATCACTACTGTATATGAATATCCTGGCTAGACGAATAATACTTTTGCAATGGCTTCTCTCTCTCCGATCGGCACCATCAGCTCCTCCACCTCCTCCTCCGATACCAGCATATCGTCGACGGGTGCCACTCCCGCCTCCTCGGTCGCCTCCCCAATCGCAGCGAATTCACCTACCGCAGGACAGGACCCTCCTTTCCGCATCGCCATCATAGGCGGCGGCATAGGCGGTCTAACAGCAGCGCTCTTCATCGACCAGGTCTGCAACACAGCAGAACATCGCAAGATCGAAATCTCCATATACGAGCAAGCAAGCGAGTACAGAGAAATCGGCGCAGGAATCGGCCTCGGCGCCAACGCAACCAAGCTTTTCGCCCGTCTCGAGTCCAAGGTCGACGGTACACCCTTACTCGACGCCATAAACGCCATCTCGGGAAGTCGAAATGGCGTATGGTTCGACTTTCGGCGCTTTGACACGGGCGAGGAGATCATCGCCGTTCCGCGCAACGAGCCCGAGGACGCCAGGATACGGATGGTGTCTGTCAATAGGGCAGAGCTTCACTCCATCTTACTCCGTCACATCCAAGCAAAATTCGATACAATCGGCGGGGGCGGCCGCCTGTTCACGGGCAAGAAACTCGTCTCTATCAGTGAGGTTTCGAAAGAATCAGCCAAGATGACATTCCAAGATGGCACAACCGCCATCGCGGACCTAGTCATCGCCGCAGACGGGATCCGCTCAGCAGTCCGCCGCCAGTTCAGCGCCGACGAGCCAGTCTACGGAAACAAGATCATCTACCGCGGCCTGATCCCTTTCTCGTCCTTGCCGAACCCTTGGCCTTTGAATTCCCACGCGGCAATGTGGATCGCCATCGGCGCGCACTTTCTGATGTACCCTATTTCGGCAGACAAGACAATCAACGTTATCGCGTGCAAAGATAAGCAGCTTACTGATATTGGAGCCGACCTGTCGAGCGAGCGCTGGTTTGCGACGTGTGATCGCTCTGAATTGGAGGGGGATTTTGCCGAGTTTACGGACCCGTTGGTTCAGGAGGTTATGCGACTTATGCCACGGGAGATTTCCAAGTGGCGGCTTAATGATCGGCGACCCATCGAGAGTTGGGTGTTTATGGGGGGTAAGGTGGTACTTTTGGGAGATGCTGCTCATCCGATGGTTCCTCATCAGAGTGCTGGGGCTGGACAGGCTGTTGAGGATGGGTATATCCTTGCCAAGGCACTTGGTTGGTTTCTTCTGCTGAAGGGAGATGCATCGGGAGAACAAAGTACCGAGCCTGAAATATCAAAGGAAAAGCTCGCAAAGGAAAACAATGCACTGGAAAGGTGGATAACACTCTATCAGAACGTCCGCATGCCACGTGCCGCCCGTACGCAAGAGAGCAGTCGCAAGGCCGGGGAGTTATTCGAGCTGATAGAGCCCGAGATGGAAGGTCTCTCGTACGAGGAGCGATTGCCTAGCTTGAGGGAACAAGCGCTGGAGAATACAAAGTGGATCTGGACGGAGGATATAGATGCTGCTTGGGAGAAGGCCTTGTCTGAGATGGTTTGAATTTGTTGGCGAGCTCGTTGATGTGTGTTGGTAGCCGAGGAAAGTGATGATTTGCATGGAACATGGGTATGTATCCTGACCTGATTGGTCATGGAAGCTTCACTCTTGGATAGATTGTTGGCATATCTGGTAATAAATTGAAACACGTTGACCAGCCTATGGGCTCAAGAACACTTTTATTCAGGACCGAGCTTCACATGAGGGATATCGTAGCACTAACGCTGCCAAATACATGTGCCACCAGCCTAAGGCTCCGGGCTCAAATTCGCCTGTACTTGGCAAAGGTGAAAGCACGAATTAGATGTTATGCTGTACAAAAGTCCTGATATCATCAGCTGTTTCGAGCACAAAGCCAAGGAGACACGCCATTTACACAAACTCGGTTGGAGGAATACAGAACTCATACCGGCCATGGACTTGAGCACAGTGGCGTTTGTGATATCATCAATTTCCTTTGCCAAGTCTGCTGGTTGTTCTCTACCGTTGGAGGGCTTGAAGCTTTAGAATAGAATACGGCGCATTAAGGTTGAGGGTCGTGATGTAATAGATATTTGAGTTTGAGCCTACCCGAGGAAAGTCCCGGGCCACGTCCAACCAGAGAGACAAGCCCTAACCAGACCACCAATCTATCTTCCGAACAGCAACAAAATTTCTTCAAACCGCATGCACCCATAACATTCTTCCGTCTTGCCGAATCACCACATCTACAACGATACTTGTGTCAATACTATTGTGCCGACTGAGACGCCATGGACAAAAGGTGCCTCTTTAATAACGGCCGCTATGATGGCTACGGGGCTTCATCCCCAGGGCCGCCCAATCAAGGTGGTAACATGGCGCCCTCAAGACAGGAAGCACCTGTACGTACAGTCTTGACCCTCTCTGTCTGCGTATCCCCTCATCCCGGTAGACAATGCGCTTGCTCGCTCTCCTCGGCACTGTCCAGATATCCTTACTGACTCATCAACCAACAAAAGCGTATCCCATACGATTACAATCCCGCTCTCGACCCAAACATCCACCCCGAAGTCGCGGCCCAGCTGGCCTCCGTCGGTTCCGGGCCCTACGATCTACGGCATTTTAATGGAACGCGAGGAATAGCACCCAGACAGACAGTCTACCGCTTTAATGAAGAAGAAATTGAGGACGAAGCCGGGCAGGGGTACCTGGGCAAACAGCCCAATACCGGCCCCCATCATCACCAGCCCGCCACCGTAGCACCAAATGACACAGTCTATCACGTCAAGAACGAGTATCAAGATCAACAATTGAGCGAGTACAAGCACGCAGACGGGCAGCACTACCACCACCACCAACAACAACAACAACAACAACTGGTCCCTGCTCACGCCCTCCCCCACCGTCCCCAGCACCAAGTCGCCATAGCACCCATGCAGACAATCTACTCGGTCGACCCAAATCAAGGAATGCACGAGCAGCAGCACCCTCATCAACAACAACAGTTCCAACAACCCATTTACCCTCCCGGTTCCCCCGACGCAATCCACGCGGAGCTCGCCCAGCTACACCCAGCCATGACGCCCGAGCAACGGGCTGCCTGGATAAGGGATTATACACGCATCAAGGCAGAGGCAGATAAAAAGCGCTGGGCTGAGGAACAGCAACGGAGCGAAAGTGAGGCGCAGGAGGCATTCCTGAAAATTCCGGGTGTCGAGGACGCGCTGGATAAGCTTTTGAAGGTGATGGATCAGCTTGATGGGAAAAAGACGTCTGACACTGCTGATAGGATTGATGGCGCAGGTGCCGCTCAGGGCGGCGAGAAAGAAGAGCAACTGAATCTTGATGATGTTGTTTACGAGATTACGGAGTTGCTGCTGAGGTGAAAGGACATGGACATCCTCTAGCAGCGTGATCTGTTTGTTGTTTACTGGTTTGCTGTACTTGTTCCTGCTGGAAGGGTCGGGTTGGTATATTGATGGACAGATAGGTACCTTGGCTGGGGACGGATTCTAGAGTTGAAGGTGCGGGTGATTACGTTTGCGTTTGTTTTGGAGGAAAGCGATTTAGTGAAATTGACATTGTTGAGCTTCGATCTTGAAGCTTGTTTATTACATCATGTCAAGAAATCGTGCAGTGAGTAGGAAGGACTACATCATGGACGGCAAACGACATGGAGATAACTGGGAAGGAGGAAAAAAGAAAGGAAAATATTACCAAAAAGATCGAAAAATAAACACCCCCCCAGGGAGTCGAACCCTGCGCACCGGAATGAGAATCCGGTATGTTAACCGATACACCAGAGGGGTTTCTGGTTGTGATTTGATGGAAGGGAGCTGCCAGGACGTGGTATAGATTCTGTGGGGGTTCGCTCACTCTCTGCAACTTGCCTTGCTTGCTGGTTGAGAGGATGGGTATGATTGTTGAAGGAAGGTGCGTGGCCCTTGCGTGGTGAGCAGGTTGTAACGGTATCAATACCAGGTTGCCGGGCCAAAAAACACGCCAAAAAACACGCCAGGATCAGGTTCTATTGAGCTGCTGCTGTTTCGTTACTGCAGAAATGATACATTTCAATTGTTCCTTGTGTGTTCAGCTCCCCTGTCGTCATCTACGGGGTTCAATCTCCAAGTCCGTTATCCACAGCAGAAACATTGTAACGGAGAGGCTCTCATTTCCTGTGGCCTAGAGCTCCTATTTGAGCTCAAGCTTAAGATCCACGGTAATTGGCTTTCTGAGGTGGTCCTTGTTGGTATGGTTCCTGGGCTTAGTTCGGCCGTCCAACGGAACATTGATTCCGTGGCAACACTGCATATATTAATGGTTATCACTCCTCTATTCCACGGTGATTCACTTCGTTTGCATATTAGCAGCTCTGGGCAGCATTTCCTACGTCGAGCTAGAAGACAGCAGATTGGTCTAAAGTCTTTGTCTACACGTCTTTCTCAAAGACAGAGAAGATGCTGTATTGAGGGTAAGATGGGGAGAGTAAAAGACTCGCAGTGCAGGCCTCAGCAGACGAGCATCTGTATATGAGAGGTGATCATCTCAAGAAATCCCGGCTACTCGGATGGGCGTTGATGCTCTTGGTCTTTCCATCTGCCGTTCTTGCCAGGTGAGGTGAAACTGTAGTTCGCGTTTTGCTCTCCGTCCCAACCTTCACATGGCCATACCGTACAGCGAAGCGGGCCACCACGTCCACCACAGTAGATTCCCACATGATTCGAGTGAAATCACATATGACTTATCAAGGATCACTCAACTTTCACGGCTCCATACAACTGAATCTCTCACCGCCAAGGATTCTTTATTGATTTACCCCTTTTCTTCCAAGTTGCCACAGTGTCCGGGCCGTGACGCTGGATCCTCGGATGTTGAAACGGCGCAGCGCTGCCGAAGACGCCGAGCTGGGTAAGGGTTGTTTATCTTGGCTGCAGCTTAGGTAAGCGGACACCCCCACGTTGTTTCTTGGCAATGTGACCACCACCTTGCTCACTCACCACCGTCCTCATCGTGAACGAGCAAGCAGTCAACAACCCAACACATATCTGCATTTTGAATGAGACAAAATACTCGAGTATTTTATATTCGCATCATAATCCCGTTGAGGAACCGGCAAATCTACCCAGATCATGGCAAGCGCGATCCCACTCTATCTGGCTCCTGACAGCGCAGGGTACAGACTCATGGAGCTGCCACAGGAGCTGGTGGATTTGATTGAGAGTGATGATGCGCCTGCTATGTAAGTCATGGCTGCTGTATGCCTTCAACTCTTCTGTCTCCATTTGTCCTTCCTTCTGATAATCCATCTCATCCCCGGTTCGACTCACCGTCAGAATCGTGGAACTCCAGCATCATGAATTTGAGTTCTACCATCCGAGACTCTCATTGCACTCATTTGCCAGACCTTTAACATTTCCCTCTCTGCTTGGATTCATAACACGGTTCCCATCCTCATATCCAACCTAAAGCCCCAAAATCCAGTCGTGACCCCATCCATCATTCTGAACTTCAAACCTCGTTACAGGACCTTCCTACTAACCCTCCCCCCTTAAAAAACCCAGGATAAAACTCACCCCCACCCCAACAGCAGCTGTCCTCAAGACTCCCATCAGGAATTACTCCCTCCGCCAAAAGAACACATCCAACGGGTTGATCCTCCTCCGCCCTGTCGCCAATACCGAGCCATCAAACTCCGACACCGTCATGACCGACGACGACAGTACCACCAAAGACAAGAAGAGAGAGAAGCCCAAGGTGTCTCTCCATGCATTCGCCACCTTACACGAGACCGTCGAGCTTCTGCGCCTCGAGGACGGCCAAGAGGAACCGCCTGCTCCGAAGTTGGGCAAGTGGCATGAGAAGTTGACGAGGGGTAGATAGAATCGTGAAAATTTGGGTTGGCGATGATGTTGCTGTTTGTATGGGCAGTATGGCTTCCTTGAGCTACACACAGCCTATGGCTTGAGTTGATCGAGATGATAGAATTTGAGGTCATCATGGCTGAGCTTGCCTACATGATTCTGCTGCTACTCACTTCCTTGGCTTAATGTCAAGTCGTGCGATGAGACGTCTGCCCAGGTTCCTGTCTACTGGCCGGTTGTTATAAATGATCACCGAGAGAACCCAAACATGTAATGATGAACCAACCAACTGTTTGCACGTATCCATTAATGTGTGAAATATGGGCTGTTAGCCGAGACACGTTGAAAACATCACACATCAAGCTTTACAAGTTCACAAATTGGCAAAACACCAGAAGCACAGCAAATCACGGAGCAGGACAAAGACTCGGGCAAAATATCTTCACCAAAAAGAAACAAGCCATCGTTAAAAAGAGACTAGGGGTATTCTAACTCCGATCGTCCCACCCATGTGTCAATCTCCACGGCCACCGTCTGTTTCTCCACGGCCACCGTCTGTTCAGCCAAGCCAAGAAAATAACTCAGCTCAACGCACTAAAAGATATAGTAAAACAACGCCAGCGAGTTAGTGAAGCTACGCCCTTGATATAATCTTGTCTGGGCCCTCCTGGACTCCTCCAAACGCCTTGACAAGATCATCATGGCCCCTGACCACCTCGAATAGCTATGATGCCTTCACAAAATGCCCACAACGCCGGTAAATCATGTAAGAACACCCCCGCTGACGCCCCCATAGGCATGACAAACAAAATGTATATGTGTGTGCAGGGCTAGAGGTATGCCTGATACGGCCAATTATGCTGCCTCGTTCGGTGCCCCATATACTCCCTCATCCTCCTCGACGTATCCAGCACCTGGATGGGGTGGGAGATTTGTATATCCAGCACCTGGATGGGGTGGGGGATTTGTATATCCAACATCTGGATGGGGTGGGAGATCTGCATATCCTATCCCCATTGCATGGAAATACTGCATCCACTGTTGGCGGACCGCTGGAACGAGCTCAACGTCAATATATTCGTTGGCCTGGGGATAACCGCCGTCGGCTGGCATACCATCGTGTCCTTGGCCCTCTGGAAAGAGCTCATCGTCAATATATTCGTTGGCCTGGAGATAACCCCCATCGGCTGGCAGACCATCATGTCTTTGGCCCTCTGGAAAGAGCTCATCGTCAAACATGAATCCGAGGTCGTTGGCCTGGAGATAACCCCCGTCGGCTGGCAGAGCATCATGTCCTTGGCCCTCTGGATCCAGCTCATCGTCAAACATGAATCCGAGGTCGTCGGCCTGAGGATAACCCACGTCGGCTGGCAGACCATTAGGTCCCTGGTCCTGGGCATCAAGCTCATCATATGCGTTGTCTTGTAACTGTAAATGGCCCATAGCTGGGAGCCCATCGGGTACCTGCTCCTGTTCATCGAGGTCATCGCCAATGTATTCGTGGTGTACTGGGCCTTGTGGATGCTCCTAGTACCCCCAATTTGCCCCGACATCCACATGAATATTATGCCCAAAACCGGCCGCCTGCTGGGCGTCCTCTCCAGTCAGGTCAATAACCACTTGCGGAGGGGTGGCCCGGATGGGCAGCGCCACCATATTCATACCCATCTGGGGAAGTCCGTCGACGGGGTATCCAGCAACGGGCATGGCTTGGGGTTCAATATAGTATGCCCCGACCATTGGGGGAGGCGGCATCTGCGGAGCCATTGCAGGCTGGGCTGCGGGGACCATGTATGGTGGCTGCCAACCAAGTCCGACCGGGACCGGTGCCGCGGCATCCAAGTTGATGGGGTTAGCCGCCCACCCGGCGTTAAACCAGGCTGGCTGTGGCTGGGCCTGTTGCTGAACTCGCTGCTGAACTTGTTCAGCTTGTTCAGCTTGTCGAGCCTGGCGACCCTGGCGGGCCTGTTCCATAGCTTGCCGCCGACCTTGCTCAACTCGTCGCCGAACCTGGCGTGCTTGTTCGACAGCTTGCTCAACCTGTTGTCGAGCCTGTCGAGCCTGTTGCCGAGCCCGCTCTTGAGCCTGCTGAGCCTGTTGCTGAGCCTGTCGAGCCTGTTGCCGAGCCTGCTCGTGAGCCTGTTGAGCCTGTTGCTGAGCTTGCTGCTGGGCTAGCTGAGCTTGCTGCCGATCCTGAACTCGCAGTCGTTCCTGCCGGCGTCGCTCTCGAACTACCTGCTCCTGAACAAGCGGTCCGACTTGCCGAACTTCCTCCCGGGGCAGTCCCATGCGAGCGTGGCGCAGCCGAGCCTGGTTCTGGTTCTCGAGGGCCATGAGCTGTATCTGATAGTCCTCAAGTGCTACTTCTTCGGCTGGTTCTTGCCTGGCTGGTTGTTCTTGGGCCGCTTGCTCCCTTCTCGCCGCAGCTAGGCGAGCCCGGTTCTCGGCGTCGGCTTGCATCAGTCGTTCCTGATAGTCTGGGATCACAGGGAGCGCACCAGGGGGATGTCGATTTCGGTTCGCGGCCAGAGCTTGGGTGCGTCGAGCCTCTTCCTCCTTTTGGACCGTGGCCGAGAACTTGAAGCCCAGATGGTCCTCTCGGATGTGCGCGTTCTCCTTTAGGATCTTCTCCCGTGCCACCTTCTCGGCCTTCTCAACCTCGAGGACCAACTGGTTATCGACGTTGTCATGGAGTCTCTCGTAACAAGCCGTGTTGGCGTCCCGAAAGTGGGTGTAGTCCTTGATGGTCTGTTGACAGATGTAGCACTGGATGGCGCGGCATTTGGAGCAAATGATCTTGTTGCAGCCATCGAGCTTGACGTAGGGCGTTTTGCACTTGTTGCACTTTCGGATGAGGGCAAGTGTCATGTCTTCCTCGATCCTGTGTCGTGCCGACTCGGCAGCGTTCTCGGACCGGAACTCTTCGCAGGACTTGGGGATATGAGTCA